TAGCCAAAAGAGCTGAAATTTAGCCGTGATATAAGGACATGCAGCTCGAGTCTTTGCTACGGAACCTCAGTTTATTACAATGTACATTCATACTACAAGTAACGAGTCGCGACTGAAAGGAAAGAGACGCAGAGACAAGCATAAGAGCGGAGCGTGAGCGCACCGATAGTGTGCATCGGGCCTAATGTTTCTTACGAAGATTCTATAGCTATGATGCCGAAATTTATCTTTATCCAATGTGAATGATTAGTCACATTAGTCATGAAACCTAAACTTTCCCGAAGGTATTACTAGAATGTGGTTGGTATAAACTTTGCAAGCTACAAATGATTTTCTAACAGGTACACAAAACAGCGATAAATTTGTCGAGACACCTAGAAATCCACCTGCGTTAATAAGACTTTTTTAGTGCTCGCCGGATCACACGCGTGATATATTTTCAAATAGCCTGCCACTTTATTAGCTCGCGTTGAAACGAGCTATTCTTTCCAACTGACAAAGTGGTAACAAACCAACTCTTTGCGATGGCAACAAAGCGCTTTTTATTAGCCCGAATTCAACCTAGCTAAAACTGAAATTCAGCTGAAACTGTAAGTCGTTTCTTTGCGTGTCGGTGCTTTTGGAGCATCTTGGCATATCGCATGCAGACTTGTTCATCCCTCGAGGATTTACAAAATTCTTTGAGACACCAGACGAAATTTCGCTGGCCGAGAAATATGAGAAAAGGCACCGTAAGATCGAAAGTGGAAACGAGATAACAGCCGTTTAAATAGCTCGCCGCGAGAGAGAACGACGCTGTTGATTCCTGTTTAGCGCGCCGGTATTCCCGAGCGCTTCTTTTTCCGGCAATCTCTGTATATAATTTAAAATCCAATTGCCGTGCACTTATACCTGCAGACTCGAGCTCAGCGGAACCACTCCGTGATCCTGGGCGTAAACGGTCAACCAGTATCCCCTCTTCGTCTCGACGTCGAGCACCGCCTTGGTCCTGATGTTTCCTGCAACAAGCGGAGAACGCGCAATTAACTCCCAGTGGAACCAGAATGAACGCGGGGCACACACGAGCACGAGCGAGCCGTGCGATAGTATCTCGATCATCTATCTCTCAACATTTCGAAATAATTCACCTTATTCCGATCGAGCCCGTCGCGCGTAATGAAATATATGGCAGGTGCGAGGCCGTCCGGCGGCTTTCTCGAAATGGAATTAATATTAAACAACGTAAAATAATCGCCGTATCGGCGAGACCTTTCGCACCCTGGCGGTTCGTTATTCCTCTGCGCCCGGGGAGCTCGAAACGAACGGAAGGCGGCCGGTTTTCGTGGGGAGAAAAAAGGCGATTGTTTCCACCTTGTGCCGAGGTGGTCGGCAACAAGAGAGCCGACAGGCGGGCACGTGTGCGCGCACCGCGGCGCGAGTCACCAATCGAGCGAACGGCGCAAAAATCGAGCCGCATTCCTGCCGTCAACACGTCAGCGGGGCACACGTTGGCCCCGGTGCCGGTGCCCCCGTCGTTCCCCGGACTCCGGGATTTCGCCGGATGCACCGGCGGTTTCTTGCCCAGTCGCCGCCGATATTCTAACCGCTCCTCGCGGTTTTGTTTAACTCGTCGCCCGGGATTAACGCGAGGGGACCAGCGGTTCAACCAACGGCTCGTCGGCCGTCCCGTGGCTCTCAAACGCTGCTCGTAGCGAGAGAGAGAGAGAGAGAGAAAGAAAGAAAGAAGAGAGAGAGAGAGAGAGAGAGAGAGAGAGAGAGAGAGAGAGAGAGAGAGAGAGAGAGAGAGAGCTCTGGGATAAGTCGCGGATCGGATTGGGATTAGCGATTGTCTTCTAGCCAATGAGAGCAAAGCAGCCAACGATTAATCGACTCTCATTGGCTAGAACAGTACTCGGAGTTGCACGATTCGGGCAGATTTCGTAGGCGACGCCTACTATCCCCCCACTACGGTCAATATCGATCGTGAGGCCCCAGCGTCATACGCGCGATCGGCGGCCCGACCGTCGAGCTTCGATCGATATTGACCGTAGCGGGGGGACAGTGGGCGTCGCCTACGAAATCTACCCGAAAAGTGCAACCAACTCCGAGCACTGGGCCAGAGAGGACAATCGTTAATCCCAATCCAATCCGAGTTGGCAATTGCTAGTCTGATTCGGCCTTAGACAATGCCGCAGAGAAAAGTAAAAATGGCAAGTGAGAATGAGCGTTTGTATAATAAGAAAAATTAGAATATAGAAAAATGTATAGAATATTAAAAAACGACAGAAAGATGTTACAGATTACAGTTGACTAATTACAGCAACGCTCACCCAGGATGTAAAATAATAATTAGATCGAGAGAGGGAGGAGGGGAAGGGGAGTCGAGCGTAAACCCGAAGAGCGCGACTCGCGATTTGTAGCGCCGATAATCAACGTCTTCCCCGTTCGCGCGCGAAGTCGGAGACCGAGGCCGAGCCCGCGGTTTCGGTCCTACCGCGCAATTAGCGAGACATCGAACTCGCCGTTTCAACGTTTCAACGTCGATCGCCGGCCGGGATAACGGGCTCGATCGTCGGAGTCTACCGAGGCATGTAACGAGCGCTAATTAGAAATCGGGAGATTCGTGCGCGAATCGCCGCGAGTCGTTTTTTTCTCCCCCCTTTCTTTCCGCGTCCCGGTCGAACCGGCGCGGGAGAGTCTCTCGCCCGCTCGCCTCGCCCCGCGAGTGCGACTTCGCGTACGCTCGCATCCCGGCTGTGCAAACCCGCGTTTTTTCCTTGGTTTTGTTTCATTCTGTTTTCTCTCTCTCTCTCCTTTTTTTCAAAAAATACACGTAGCGCCGAGCCTCGCGTTAAGCGCGGCGGCGGCATACGGGCCGGTTTTGTTGCCGTGTTTTCCTTGCAGCTTCCGTTGCATCGCGTGCGTGCTCAAATCATAGTCGGCGCTCCCCGTCCGCGGGTCCGCTCGCAGTTAGCACACATGACATGGAAAAGAGGGAATGCGCTTTTTTTTTTACAGTCTCTCCTTTACGCTGTAAATCGCACGGCCGGGCGCACAAACGCTCAGGGACAGGCCTCGCCGCGCGTGTAATTAACTTTATTTAATTAATTCGAAAAACTAAATTAACTTCATTTATAATAAATTCAATTAACTTAATTTTAACTGTATCACCGCCGCAAAAGAATGCGGCCTCCTATATGCGCGGCGAGCGCGCGGAGGAGCAGGCATTTCGAGTAGCTGAATTCACCGTGGAAATTGTTAAATCTTAATTAACCGCAAACGAACGCTGCCATATAATGCGCCAGGCCGCTGTGCTTCATCTTCCCCCTCCCTCCCCCTCCTACCCCCCCACGTGCCCTGCTACGTCGTTACCTCCGCGTTATACGCGCCTCTACTGTTCATTCGACTGTGGAAGAAGCGGATGAAGACACGTGCGGTGCTTAATAGCGAGCGAGCCGGCGAATGCATTAAATTTAGTACCGTAAACGCGATTTATACAGCATCCTCCGTATAACGGGAGAACTTCGTTAGCGGGGAAAACGAGCAGCCTGGCTCCGCGCGATTACAAAAATGAATTTTCTCGCGAGCAGTCGATACTGTAGTTCTTCTACGAAATAAGATACATCCGGCGGGGGCTCGAGACAGTCCCGAGAAACAATCTGCGACGAAGTCAAGATGAGGTTCGCGTGAGTAAATGTTCGTTCGCACGTTCGGCCCCTTTGCGCATAACGCGGGTATTACGGATTGATAAGAATGCTCGGCAACAAAACGGGTTTCCGCGGGACAACTTATCACCTATCGTCTTGCGGCTCGAAATGCACCTTCTCGGAAAGGATTTTGACAACGGAACAAAAAATATTCTTGGCACGTTTCAATTTATCACAGACTCATGTGGTAAACGAGTAGAACTACAGTACCGGCCAAAAGTGTACCACTTTTAAGTTTTCCGAGCTCAACTTTCGTCAAAGTGCGTCGCGAATGTGTTCAAAATTTTAGATACCTGGTAACAGGTGCATCTTGTACGTGAAGGGTCATGAAAAGGCTGGACGAAATATTGATCTGCGAGTTTTTCATTCGTGCACGTTAAAGCTGGTTAAAACAAAAGGTGGTGTAATTTTGACCGGCACTGTATATTAAGATCGAATCGAGGGAGAAACCGCTGACCAAAATCTTGTACAGCAATGCCCACTAATGCCCAATGGGCATTGCTTTATCTTATTATCTTATTTTATTTATCTTGTTTTATCTTATTTTATCTTATAATGCGCCAGCAAGGCCTAATGCCCAAAAAATGTCTAGTAATGCCCAGCAATGCCGCAAATCTTAACACCACAATGCCCTCAGCGGTTTCCCTCTCGGAGGAAACCGCTGACCAAAATCTTGTACATACACCAATGCCAAATGGACATTATTTTAGCTTATTATCTTATTTTATCTTTATAATGCCCCAGCAAGGCCTAATGCCCAAACTAATGCCCAAAAATACCTAGTAATGCCTAGTAATGCCCAGTAATGCCGCAAATCTGTACATCACAATGTCCTCAGCGATTTACCCCTCAGAGCGAATCAATAATTTCTATTCTCCTAGAATCTAGATTGACTTGCCATATTGAGATAGGAACACATAAATTTAAGCTTATATATTTTGTTTGCGTTTAAATAAATCTTCGCTCGACGTGTTACAACGCACAACAGAAAAATGGTTTGGAGCAGGTTTTTCCAACGTCTTAGTAAGTTAAGTAATAGTTAAATCACGCGTATGTATTTGTTTTTCCTTTAAATTAAAAAAGATAAACATATAATTTAACTATTAATTAGCTTACCAAGAGGTTGGAAAAACCGATCCTTATTTAGGTTAAAGAAATGAGATACGTTGAAATCACGTTTTTTTGTTAGGGTCGAACCTCCATGTAAATTGATTTCAAAGAACCTTTTTTCTGGGTGTATACAAACTAAAATTTTATCCCAATAATTTAAGAATTTCAGATTAAAACATTCCTCTCTCGGTAATAAATATAACTGCCGCTATATCGATTCTATTATACTTAATAATAAATTTTGATTTACTTGCACTAAAACATTTGCTAGAGCTGAAGAAATAGATACGAATTCTCTTAGCGATTCCAGTCCGGATCAAATAAAATTTTAATTAAGGTAAAAAGAAATCATTTCTTCGAAATTAAATAAAAGTCTAGTAGGGCCGAAGTTCCATGAAAAATTTGTTTGATTTCAAAGAAACTTCTCTCTGGGTGTGTACGAACTAAAATTTTATTCCGACGATTTAAGAATTTCAGATTAAAACATTCCTCTCTCGGTAATAAATATGACCGCTGCTGTATCGATTCTACTTTACAATAGATCGAAGTGCAGTAACATTGGAAATCTTTCCCGCGGGTGTATTAATATTATTTCAGAGAGGCGGGAGTACATACACGGGTATCTCGCACATATCGAACGTCTCCGCGGGGAAGAGGGAGGAGAGGAGGCAGAGCGAAGGAAATTATACTCTTTGTGAAATATTTTCGTCGCCCGCCTTCGCGTCCGTTCGCGCGAGCTGCTTGAACGTTGTTGCTGAACTTGGATCGGGCTTCATCACGGAGATGGATACCCCGGCGAATCTCCCGGGCTCCCTCGTGCTCGTCCATCCGTTCCGACAGCTGATGAAGGCGCGTGCAGCATTTAATAGCGCGCCGGGGATCGTATTTAATGTGTGCCTGACGCGCGGATTGCAGCAAACTCCCCGAGATGCGCGTGTGCGATGTACAGCGATACGAGGTACGTGAACGAAACGCCGAAGAGCTCTCTCGTCCACCCGAGTTCGCGCCGCCTCGCGCGCAACTGCCCGATACCGATGGCAAATCGTGGGATAATTTCTGTATATTATACATAACTGGTGAAAATAAGGGAAAGTAAATAAAGAGAATAGAATTGCGAGCCGCGGGCGCTTCCAAATATATTGTGGCGAGGAGGAAAAATAACCGGACGGTAATCGCGCGACAGCTGCTTGGCAATTTTTCCCCGCGACTTTCTCAGCTCGTAAGAGCTCGACGCCGTTCACTGCTCGAGAGATCCAGCAAGGACCGTCTCTCTTTCTCTCTCTCTCTCTCTTTCTCGTCGAG